ACAGTTCAATTGCCATGGAGCCGAAGTCTTTAACTACACGAATGGGCTCCATGGCATAGCTATCTGGGTTAACACATTTACATAAAGTCTGGTCCATAGTCCAAAGGCAGCAGGCAGGCAGCCAGGCTTCTCCAATGCCCAGTGGCGAGGCTGGTTCCGCCACAATCCCCTCTTCAGTTACCTACAATTTTTTGTATTCCCAATACTTTCATTCCTTTCGGGTCTCCATTATGTGCAATTTTGAAATGTTGTGGCACTATGATTTTTAAGCGTCTTTTTAATATTCCTGATATACTCTTTTGTAAACTTTAACAAACCACCTCTTTTACCTGTAGGATTTTGTCACAGATCTTACAGTAACCACAGGCTTCTAGGGTAATCAAAGTCCAGGACACATCCAGCTCAGTTTTTCTGATTTATTTGGTGCAAAATATACAGGTGCTTCAAAATAAAATAAACAAAACTAAATTCCTTGCTCTTGTTTGAGCACTTACTAAACACAGTAATCACTATCTGTAATTGGGTGGCTTTCCCACTTACCAATTTACAATAGCAAAATATAGCTGCGAGACACACCATTCCTCTGGCTCTTTCTCCCTCACTCTGCAGTAGGCTGATCCCTTCTTTTAAAAGCCTGCCTGCTAATTGACCAGCTACAGGTGAGTATCAATTAGTTCACATCTCTGGAACTCCTAAGTTAAACACAAGATCTTTTCTGGCTGTTATATAGCAACTAGTGCTATTGGAGCACTGGCCCATCCTTCTCTCCAAATGCTCCACCCCAGGGACTCTTACCATGGTTTGCAGAGTACCAAAAATGTATCTTGCAAACCTAACATCTCTCCCTGGGGCATTTAATTGAGAAACCTCAGGCTGCTGTTTAGTAAATCAGGCCTAATATATCTTCCCTCAACAACCATTCCCTCAACAACCATTTTCTCTCACAACACTTATGTAGAACACTTTTTGCACAGCCAATATAATATAGCCAACATGGGCAAATCAGTAGGTATATCATACTCCTGGAGGAAGTCATTAAAATGTGTGACCTGACATTTACTGCTTCTACATGTTTTCATTGGAGGTATATCTACTAAATAGGGATTTGGGGGGGGAGGGGATGTTTGGGCTGTGGAGTGTCCCTTTAATAATACACTGCACTAATACACTATATTGACTATTCTATTTCATTCTAATTCAATTTCATTCCACATTCTTGTTTTCACACAGTACATTTGTGGTTACGATGGGGGTGAATTTCACTCTTATCATATTAAGCAAAGCACACACAAGCTAAGCAGGGACCGGGCCTCTTTGTCGGGCCCAATATATGTGTAGCATAAAACAAAAAGCCAAAACATACTAAGTTTGTATGTATGCTGAAACTGTCTCAATCACTTTGTGAGGTCGTCACTACTGTGACTTAGTGGAGAAGCTTTGCCTCAATTATGTATTTGTCGTTGTCAATGGCATTCACCAAGACCTCATACTCCTCTATTAAAATAATCATTATCCAAAGAAAGAACAGGGAATGCCCAATCTCCTAATCCCAAAAGTCAACGCACACCAGTAGTTTTCAAAGTTTGGTGGTAAGGGATTCTGAGACACTTGTGATCAGTGAAATCATCATCTTCTTGTCCTCGATTAGATATAAAGTTTATTTAAATAGGGCCAAAATCAATGAGAGTCATCAAATCACTGCCTCACTGCCATGTATTGATGCATTTACTCACTACACAAGGGCGAAATAATTGTTGGGTACCTTTTATTGTACCTCTGCTCTGGATTCTTGTATTCTTCCTACCCACAAATGGAATGGAGTAAGGGGCTTAAATCAACACTCCAAGCTCTTTAACCACTACAACCCACTATAGAGGTTATGGTGCCAAGCTCTAGAGCCCTCCCAGAGTAATTTGTTCCCAGGCACATTGCATCCAGCTACTCCAGCCAGCGAGAGCAGCCTAGAGTGTCACTGCATGACTCTGCTTAGCACAGTGTAGCTAAGAGGATTCTACTACAAGGAGAATCCGTAAGCAGACCATGTGGCTGTGGAACGAAGAGGGATTCAGGCAAGTTGTCAATCCATTCTTAAATGGTTTGGCAAATTACAATGGGAAGGTGCCAGGCCACTCCTGGCCCCATAACCTCCAGAGCAGGCTATGTTCCTTTAATTTACATTTTAAAAATTTAATAAATTATATCAGTATAAAATTAAGTACCTTTCATTGACCTGCATGAGGTAATTTGCAATCTACTTGACTATGATTTGCTATGTGATGTAATTAGCGTGCAATTTTTACAGAATGTTTAATATAATATATGATGTACCTTGCAAACCAGACATGACTTGTTCCTATGACATTACATGTGGAAGGTGGTCATCATCATGTTCTGATATTTGCATTGTAAATCACCACATTTGCTATATTATGACATCAGTAATATGATATAAAGAGTTATTTTGTAAAACAAGATCTTACTTCTGTGACTAGTTAGGTTACAAAACTGGTATTTAAAAATTGCATACACAAATTGTTGTCTCTCTAGGGAATTGTTTTTTAAATCTATTAATACTGCATTTGTTGCTGTCACAGTGCATGTTTTGAAACTCAGGCTGTGTAAAAGGCTGTCTCAATAAAAGAAAGATATGACAGGCCTGTAGGGAGGTAAAGAGGAGGGGGGATATGATGGATACGGGCTGCTTTTTGATAAGTAGTGGGTACAAGAAAGAAGATGGATCAGTAAAAATTTCCATTAACGTAGGAAAAATACAAGTTGCCCCTAACATCACCTCTGATCGCTCCTTAGACCAGCTGCTTTTTGAATGCCCTACCGAGGAACAAATTGCTTTCTTAGCAGGGCATTTGGACACTACTGCATTAATAGATATGGATCCCAGCATGTTAAGCCAAGCGCAAAGGCAATTTAATATGAGCAACACTGTCATCTCAATTTAGGACAACAGCTAGGATGCCCTAAAGGGCACTGAAACAGCTTTGCGAAGTACACAGCCTGAGACATTTTTTGTCTCAAGGCAATGAAATACTAGTATTTCTTTCAAATAAGAATAAAAAGAAATGTAAATGACAGCAACTGTGCATGGTCTGTAGGAACTGATATTAGTTCAAGTGTTTATCTTTGTAAACCAAGAATATTAAATTCAATACGCCTGTCAGATTAAATAGCATAGTAAAGATTTGGTAAATAAACAATCCCTGTGTTCTTCTTCAAATACGAATAAAACCATATAAATACCAAATAATCTATCACATTATTTAATACTGGTTTCACAAGTAGTATATACCTCTCTAAAGACAATGTAACACTGGTTTTGTAAAAGTGACTAATGTTAAATAATATCTGTAATAATACTGTTAGATTTATTCACTAAACACTTGATATTGTGAATGGACAGATTCTGATGAAAATGGCTGAATTCTGACAGCCACGACAATTCTCATATTTACTAAAGCCAAATATGGTAAAATGTTTGTGAGCCTGAGCAAATTTGCAGCAATTGGATGCTTACATTCAGTTTCAGTACTTTCACATTTAAAACCTATACAAAGTATATATATTAACATTCATGTGAAAATATGTTACTCCCATGTTTTTGCATGCTAAGTTAGTACATAAATGGTGTAATCCTCAATTTTCTGTTGTCACGATCGCACCCTACTCCAAGAGTGTGCGTGACGTAGTTATAGAGGTGAAAGGGTTAAAGTTTACTATTTGTCTGCACTAGTCCAGAAATAATGATAAAATCCCCCTGAACACTACCCACACTTGAGCTAATAATACAAATAATACAAATATTACTATTTTAGTAATACCACCAAGACAATTCATAAATGGGGTGCCTTGGTCCCCCAGATAAACTTAATAAAAACCTATGTAATTGCAAAACACTCATTAATTAGTCTTTTCAGGTAATGCGATTCTTTACCAGAGAAAGGCAGAACTTAATAAAGGGATATTCATTATGAGCAAAAAATTGTCACAGTGCATACAAAAATATAGATGACAATCAAATTAGTTAAACCATCAACAGATAAAAACAAAAGGGATAACATAACAGAAGTCTTAATCATTTACTCAGGTTTTCAAAGTAAAACTTCTGCCCCAGGGGGGTCTCTGGTAAGAAAGGTGGTGACTCATTTAGAATTAGATTCTGGCTCCCAAGCAAGTCCAAATACACATCTCAGTATCATTGGATATATACTGTCAGGATTACAAGTTGATCCAGCACGCAGAACTGTGTCACACCTAGGACTAAGGATAATGTAAGGGCATTCATTCTCGGGACAAGAATATAATTTTGCCTCTTTATAAATCACTGGTAAGACCCCATATTGAATATGCTGTGCAATTTTGGGCACCTGTTCTAAAGAAGGATATTCTGGCACTGGAAAAAGTGCAGAGGCGGGCTACAAAATTAATAAAAGGAATGGAACATATCGGCTATGAAGAAAGGTTAACAAATGTAAACCTATTTAGTTTAGAAAAACGTCACCTGAGAGGGGATATGATAACATTATACAAATATATTCGGGGACAATACAAGCCATTGTGTGGAAATCTATTCACAAACCGGACCTTACATAGGACACGAGGCCATGCATTTAGACTGGAAGAAAGAAGATTTTGTCTAAGGCAAAGGAAAGGCTTTTTTACTGTGAGAACAATCAGGATGTGGAATTCTCTGCCTGAAGAAGTGGTTTTATCAGAGTCCATACAGATGTTCAAACGGCTACTAGATGCATACTTGCAAGAATTGTAGATGCGAATATCCATTATGCTTAATATCCTAGCTGTTCATATAAGGGTTAATTTGAACCAAGAATAAATTTGGAATTGTATCTCCAATTCTCGGAAATAAAACTTATCTATTTACGGGAAATGTTATTGGAACATGATTTTGTTATGTTCCTGGAAAAGGATATTTACATGACATGACATGACATGACATGATAAGGATTCTGGAATGTCCTTGTTAATTGTGTTATGGACAGATGAATTAAAATAAAATGGCTATTTACTAATGTCTATTTATTCTCTGTTCACTATGTTAAAACTGGCTTCTAGAGTAAATATTCCCTTCCCCCCCTACAATGTGGTCAGCTGCTGTTTACTATGTAAATTCCTCACATCCTGCTAGCCTTCCCTCCCCCACTACCTTTGTGCCAGTTAACAGCTATATGCCATATATAGCTAAATGGAGGATCATTGGTTTAGAACTGATAGATACCACTCACTCCCCCTCCCATCGTGTATCCAAAAGTCTGTAATGATGACACTACATTCTGTAGGGAGGTTTAAACAAGAGCCCCCTTTCTCTGTTAACCAATTGGTGAATGTATACTGTATGTTTAAACTGTGACGTATTTTTGCTTTAAGAAGGAGCCCCCACTCCGGGGAATAAAGCATTCCTGGGTTTTTCACTGATCAGAAACTTTGTCTCCGGTGTGAATTACTTCTAGGGAAAGCGTGCACGCATTAATCAATTTGGAAGGTGTAGATAGACAAATAATCAAAGTTTTCTTTGATCCAAAACAATTGTCCAAGATTTCGGTATTTGTAATCATCTGGGTTTTATCCAATATGCATACATTATGTAACATCGAATTATAACTAAACAACTTGTGAAAAATAAACTATGTCACAATGCTCAATGACCCCCACCGACATGAAAATGGGGTATAAATATAACTGACGTATCAATTAAAATTTGAATTGGTTATTGAACACGTCTCTGCTATTCATTTCCAATTTCCAGAGCTCTGTATGAGTTGGCAAATATCCATCATCCACAAAGGGCCCGGGCTGATTTTATCCCCAACAAGAACAGAATATTCAAGGATATAATCTTTCAATGTAGGGTAATAACTGCTTGATCCAAGGATAAATCTGACTGCCATTCTGGGGTCAAGAAGGATTTTTTTTCCTAGCTTGTTGCAAAATTGTGCTTCAAACTGTTTTTTTTGCCTTCTTTTTGTAACGGAGTCTTACCTGATAGGGAGTCCAGCTCGCAGAGTTATACACTCACCCTTGCAAAGTAGACACAGACCAGGGTGACCAGGTAAGACGCCACCTGGCCTGTGAGTCTGTGCACGGGGGCTTTCCAGGAAAGGTGCTCCAAGACTCAGTACAGCAGGGATAAGCAGAAGCGTGGTCAAGGGAAACCAAAATCAGGGAAGCCAGAGGTCAGAGTAGTCCAGGAGGAAAGCCAAGGTCAGAAGCCGGAATTAGACAAGAATCACTGGAACGCAGGTACGGAGTAACAGGAACCAAACAAGGGAACCAGAGTCAATGAACTGACACCCCTCCCAGGGTGAGGCAGGCTTTTATATCCTGTTAATTAGGATCAGATTCAGCTGGAGAGTAACTGACAGATCAGAGCCTTAAGTGAAGTCCAGACCCCTAGTGCTGCAGGCAATACAAGAACAAACAGGAGTTATCCAAAGTCCTGAAATGGCTCAGAGGGAAACTAGCAGGACACGGTCCAGAAGGACCACAGTTCAAATCCCCTATCGGGCGCTTCCGGAGCAACCACGTCTGGCAGACTGGATGTCACGGCGTGAACCGTGACACTTTTGGATCAACAGCAAAAAACAAATGAGAGGTAGGCTGAACTTGATGGACGCAAGTCTCTTTTCAGCTATGTAACTATGTATAACCGGACCTTGGAATGGCCAACTTAATGTATCCAAGAATAGTCAAAATACTTGCCGAGTTCAAGAACACAGAATCAGACACAACGATGAGGGAAAGCCAAAGGTCAAGGATACCAGAAGTCAGGCAAGTCAAAACAAAGCCAAAGTCAAATACCAGAAAATCAAGATCCGGAACGCACTCTCAGATTACCATGTGGATGAAACCATGACAGGGCAATGAGCAAAAGGAGAATTGTGTTTAAATACCCCTCCTGTGGATCCGATTGGCTGTAACCAGCCTTTGACCCCAAAAGCAATTACCAGTTTGCCATGTGAATGATTGCTGCTTGGCACAACTTTTCCTGTCAGGACGGTAATGCTGCTTGGCACAACTTTTCCTGTCAGGATGGTAAATGCCATTAACCACATTTTTATGAGCAGATGAATATGTGACATATACCCTGTGGATTACCAAGCCTCACCCAGAGGTGTTCCTATAGTACCTGTAGTATGTATAAGTGACCACCTCCTTGTGTTCCAGACCAACATCAATCCAAATGGAAACATTTAGTTTTTCTCTCCTTTTATGTATTTGCCACATAAATAATAATTACATCTAAGATGTAACCATTTTTCCAATCCATAGATGTTACACTCTTTACCTGTGACTAGTGATGTACCGAACGGTTCGCTGGCGAACGGTTCCTGGCGAACATAGCATGTTCGCGTTCGCCACGGCGGGCGAACATATGCGCGGTTCGACCCGCCCCCTATTCGTCATTATTGAGTAAACTTTGACCCTGTACCTCCCAGTCAGCAGACACATTCCAGCCAATTAGCAGCACACCCTCCCTAGCAGACCCTCCCACCTCCTGGAAGGCATCCATTTTAGATTCATTCTCAAGCTGCATGCTTAGTAAGAGGAGGGAAAGTGTAGCTGCTGTTCATAAGATAGGGAAAAGCATAGCTAGGTTAGGGATAAGGGTATGCTTTTTTAATTTATTTTTTCTATGTAATGTAATTGCACTTAGTTGTCTGCCACTGCTGCCAGCTTCTGTGTCAGGCTCACAGTGCATACTGTGCCCATTTCCCCAGTCAGTGCCACCACTTACATCTGGTGTCACAATAGCTTGGATTTAAAAACAAAAAACTTTTTTCACTGTTATAGATTGAATAGCAGTCAGTTGTCTGCCACTGCTGCCAGCTTCTGTGTCAGGCTCACAGTGGATACTGTGCCCATTTCCCAGTCAGTGCCACCACTTATATCTGGTGTCACAATAGCTTGCATTTAAAAACAAAAAACTTTTTTCACTGTTATAGATTGAATAGCAGTCAGTGTCCTTAAAGCTTCTGTGTTAGCTAACAGTGGATACGGTGACCAGTGCCACCACTTAGATCTGGTGTCACAATAGCTTGGATTTAAAAAAAAAAAACACTTTTTTCACTGTTAAGATTGAATAGCAGTCAGTGTCCTTAAAGCGGGTGTGTTACGCTAACAGTGAATACGGTGACCAGTGCCACCACTTAGATCTGGTGACACAAAGCTTGGATTTAAAAACAAAAAACTTTTTTCACTGTTATAGATTGAATAGCAGTCAGTGTCCTTAAAGCGGGTGTGTTACGCTAACAGTGGATACGGTGACCAGTGCCACCACTTAGATCTGGTGACACAAGCTTGGATTTAAAAACAAAAAACTTTTTTCACTGTTATAGATTGAATAGCAGTCAGTGTCCTTAAAGCGGGTGTGTTACGCTAACAGTGGATACGGTGACCATTGCCACCACTTAGATCTGGTGACACAAAGCTTGGATTTAAAGCCAAAACTTTTCACTGTGCCGGTGAATAGCAGTTAGTTATCTTCAAGCAGGTATTCATTGTAACAGTGGATACGGTGACCAGTGCCACCACTTAGATCTGGTGACACAAAGCTTGGTTAAAACAAAAAACTTTTTTTCACTGTTATAGATTGAATAGCAGTCAGTGTGTGTCATAAGCCAGATTGTGTTCGCTAACGGTGATCTGATTGACCAGTGCCACCACTTAGATCTGGTGACACAAGCTTTACAGTTAAAACAAACACTTTTTTCACTGTTATAGATTGAATGGCAGTCAGTGTCCTTAAAGCGGGTGTGTTACGCTAACAGTGGATACGGTGACCAGTGCCACCACTTAGATCTGGTGACACAAAGCTTGTATTTAAAAACAAAAAACACTTTTTTCACTGTTATAGATTGAATAGCAGTTAGTTATCTTCAAGCGGGTGTCAGGCCTGCAGCCTGTGCTCTGCACAACTGTGCCAGTGCACATTGCCACTCATATCTGGTCTCACAGTAGCTTGCACGCATAGTACCACTAATCCAAACAAAAATGACAGGCAGAGGCAGGCCACCCCGCAGGGGCCATCGTGGTCGTGGTGCTGTGATTCTCTTTGGCCCTAGAATAATGCCCAGTTTTCAGAACTTGAAAAGTTCTGAGGATATAGTTGACTGGCTAACACAGGACACCCAATCTTCTACAGCCTCCGCTCAGAACCTTGACGCACCATCCTCCTCCAGCTTAGCTTCAGGCACCTCTCAAGATACCACTCACCCGCCTGCCGCCACCACCAAAACTAGCACCACAGCCGCTTCAGTTGGTATGTCAGAGGAGTTATTCACACATCCGTTTGAAGAAATGAGTGATGCGCAACCATTATTGCCAGAGGATGTAGATAACAGGGATATGTCTCAGGCAGGCAGCATTACACACATGGACGTACGGTGTGATGATGATGATGATTTGTACCCGCTGCTGCTTCCTTTGCTGAGTTGTCAGATACAAGTGAAGCGGTTGATGATGACGATGCGTCCATGGATGTCACGTGGGTGCCCGCTCGTCAAGAAGAAGAACAGGGCGAAAGTTCAGATGGGGAGACAGGGAGGAGGAGGAGACGAGTTGGAAGCAGGGGGAGGTCGTCGCAAGGAGCTAGTGGCACAGTCAGACAGCATGCATCGACACCCGGGGTCAGCCCGACAGCACGCCAATCAACGCATGCTGTGTCCACCACCAGAATGCCGTCATTGCAGAGCTCAGCAGTGTGGAATTTTTTTTGTGTGTCTGCCTCTGACAACAGCGATGCCATTTGCAACCTGTGCCAAAAGAAACTGAGTCGTGGGAAGTCCAACACCCACCTAGGTACAACTGCTTTGCGTAGGCACATGATCTCACATCACAAACGCCTATGGGATCAACACATGAGTACAAGCAGCTCGCCTACTCTAAGCGCCAGCCTCCTCCTGGTCCAGCATCTTCAGCCACGTCAACCACTGCTGTCCTCCTTGTCCCCTCTCAACCATCCGCCACTCAGCCTCCCGCCTTGAGCAGTTCACGCTCATCTTCCC